CACACAAGTCTAAATTGAAAACAACGTTCAAACCTACGAATGCGTTGGATAAAAACCGCAATTTTAATACATGTGCCCGCAAAACAAATTTCTTGGTAGAGGGGTCTAAATACAGCACAAACAACATTTTCCAAAAGACCAAATGAGTGAAAAAGTATATTTTAACAAAACGCATTTGACTAGCAGGTCGAACAACTGATGTTCTTAAACCCTGCCGACTGCCACTGGCGATTGCCAAAAAAACGGATCACAAGATGTAACAAAATAGATCTATTTAATAATTTATTACCAAACTGAAAAAAATAAACTTGCGGAAAAGATGGTATACCGCAAACATGAGGTGCAAACATTTGTACACCCTATCCGGATTTCGACAATTAGGGATAAAGGATACTACAGATACAGATACTAGGATACTAGAGATAAAGGATACTACAGATACAGATACTAGGATACTAGAGATAAAGGATACTACAGATACAGATACTAGGATACTAGAGATAAAGGATACTACAGATACAGATACTAGGATACTAGAGATAAAGGATACTACAGATACAGATACTAGGATACTAGAGATAAAGGATACTACAGATACAGATACTAGGATACTAGAGATAAAGGATACTACAGATACAGATACTAGGATACTAGAGATAAAGGATACTACAGATACAGATACTAGGATACTAGAGATAAAGGATACTACAGATACAGATACTAGGATACTAGAGATAAAGGATACTACAGATACAGTTAAGTCTGCCTCATATCTTGACTTACATCTAGAAATTGACAATGAGGGTCGGTTGAAAACAAAACTTTACGACAAAAAAGATGATTTCAGTTTCCCAATTGTGAACTTTCCATTTCTATGTAGCAACATTCCAGCAGCGCCTGCATACGGAGTATATATCTCCCAATTGATACGATATTCCCGGGCTTGTATTTCCTATTATGATTTCCTTGATAGAGGATTGCTGCTCACAAGGAAGCTATTAAACCAAGAGTTCCAAATGGTGAAGTTGAAATCATCCCTTCGTAAATTTTACGGACGCTATCACGAGTTGGTTGACAGTTATGGAATAACCGTTTCACAGATGATATCGGATATGTTCCTTATGTCGTAACTACAATACCATTCCCTTTTCACGAATGTGACCTACCGAATTAGACTATTTACCGGATTTGTAATAACATAAGCAACACGACGGGTGCCACATGCAGAGCAGGATCTGCTTACCCTTCCGGAGTACCTGAGATCATTTCCAGTTTTTGGTGGGGTTCGTGTTGCTTAGTCTTTAGTTTTCTATGTTGTGTCATCTGTACTATTATTTGTTTGTTTGTCTTTTTATTTTTGGCCATGGCGTTGTCAGTTTGTTTTCGATCTATGAGTTTGACTGTCCCTCTGGTATCTTTTGTCCATCTTTTAATGTCTCTTCAGTGATGTTAGGAATCGAAACGGTATTTGGAAGGCCATATAATTTACCTCAATTTAGGATAGACTCTTGAATTTTGAAAGAGTCAAAATAGGATGAACGGATCATATAAACCCGAAGTCAAATATACTACAAGTCCAAACGAAAACATATAAACAAATCTAAATTGAAAACAACGTTCAAACCTATGATTGCGTTGGATAAAAACCGCAATTTTTATACGTGTGCATGCAAAACAAATTTCTTGGTAGAGGGGTCTAAATACAGCACAAACAACATTTTCCAAATGACCAAATGAGTGAAAAAGTATATTTTAACAAAACGCATTTGACTAGCAGGTCGAACAACTGATGTTCTTACACCCTGCTGACTGCCACTGGCGATTGCCAAATAACCTGATCACAAGATGTAACAAAAAAGATCTATTTATTAATTTATTACCAAACAGAAAACAATAAACTTGCGGAAAAGATGGTTTACCGCAAACATGAGGTGCAAAAATTTGTACACCATATCCGGATTTCGACAATTAATGTCTCTTCAGTGATGTTATTTGGTATTTGGAAGGCCATAAAATTTACCTCAATTTAGGATAGACTCTTGAATTGTGAAAGATATATATATATAATTTTTAATGTATAAAAATTGCGGTTTTTATCCAACGCAATTATAGGTTTGAACGTTGTTTTCAATTTAGACTTGTTTATATATATATATATATATATATATATATATATGTATATAATTTAATGTTTTAACAACACTGGTTTATTTCCTAACATTTGATCAAATTAAAGATACTTAAAAAATGATTCAAAAGTTAAATTTTTACTAATTTGAGAAAAAAATCAAAAACATAAAAGTATAAGAACATATATTCTTAAACACGATTAAACAAGACAATTTTGATTGTATTCCTATATGTTATCTTTTGACGAATCAAATTGATTAATTAAGGTAAATGTTCACTGTCATCTTCAACATAATATTCTAATTTCAAAATACAAGAACATTTTATTTTACTAACCCATTTTGAAGGAATTTCAAGAAAGTTAATTCATTTTAGCAAAATGTTTTTGTACTCAAGTACGAAGTACATTAATACCATTTATAACTTACACTACAACCCCTGTGCAATCAAGAATCATATAATTTTTTTTATATTCTGGATCCTATTAGAAATTTAGTGTCCAGAATCCTCCTCGTTATCAACAAGTTGAATTTAAAGTTAAAAACCATGTAGAAATCAAAATTCCAATATTTACTGGTTGAATCGGGTTATTCAGATTTGTACTAAATTTCGATCTGTTCTGGGTGGATTATGGATGCCATCGACATTTCTACCCTACAAAACAAAAACACAGTCATAGATAACATAAATGTATACCATACGTTTATAGTCTCCGTTTTCCCACTCCTGTTATCAGCGACAGGTTATTTTCAAATTACTGTGGATTTATCAAAAGGTATTTTATACTCGCTACGAAACAGGAGGAAAGCTCGACGAGCTCTCGTACAAATAAATTTTATATTTTCCAACAATGTACGAATATGACTTCCAATGTGTATTGATACATAAACATGTAAATGTATGGTAAAGCGAATAAAATCAACCCTCCCTATCGAAAATCCTTCCCAAATATTCCTTATTAATAGATATTAATAAACTTTCTGAAACATTTATGTGTTAATTTATTTTTGCGAATTCTGCTTTATGTTTTTGTTATTTTTAGATGCCACTTCATGCGTTATATGATTGACTTTTACATATGCTTGTACAGGGCGATATTATATCTAACAGTTTAATAACAATCTTTATTGATTATACGTGTAACCATGGCCAATAAATCTATTTTTACGAATTTGGTAATTGAGGTTTAACTTTTTGTTCGTTTCGGTTTAAATCAAACGATTGATACCAAATATATTTATATAACGTCTTTTTCATACCACATGTTTATATAGAAAAACAAAAACATTTACGTTTTCTTAAATGTAATTTACTATTGACAGTTATGAAAATCTTAAAATACCTGGATGTCACCTCAACAGTTATATTTGGATTCACCTTATGTGTAATCGTTGTGTATAGTTTAGAAGAAAGCTGGTCGTCGTATTCAAAAGACGGAACATTGTGTTATTATTGTTCCCCGGGAACTTATTTTGTTAATGACTGTCTGGTAAGTAGAAAAATAGTCATATGTTAATTTGGACACTCCCTGACTTACTTAAAAAGCATGAATGGGTCTGTATGATATCAGCAGATAAATATAAGAATGAATTAAAAAAATTACAAGGATTACCAATCAATGAAAAGGGAAAGCATTAAAAAACCACCAACAATACAAACAAACGTAAGGAAAGAACGACTTATTGCGTGTTCGCTCTAGAAAAAATATTACTTTAAACTTTTCAGATTTGGCAATTAACTATACTGCATACGTCACTAATTCATTGTTTTAAAAAAATTGATAAACTGCCAGTTCTTTCTTTTTTAAATTTAATTTGTTTTAAAATGTTTTTCATTTAAAAGATGCATAATTCCCAGGCACAGTGTAAACCGTGTCCAACACAAAAATTCATGACGTCCCAGAATATCGCTATTTACTGTAAAGATTGTACGGAATGTGACCACGTAGTCTCACAATGAAAACGAGAAGGATGTTTGTCTGTACCAAGTCAAGAATACGGCAGTTGTTTTTACTTCTTCCGCTCTTTATTTTTGTAATTTTTTATGGACTTCCCCCTCTTTGATTTGCCCTGCAGTTTGGTATTTTTGTTATATGTTATTTTGTACCAACAAAGATTCACTAATCAACACCACAATTCACAATGAAGACACTCATTTATAAGGTTTAGGTACTTTGACAGTTTCAAAGATTAAATTGTTTATTTTTTTACATCTCAATCTCCCTTTTATTGCCATAGTAGACAGCAAAAGGCATAATAAGAAAGTGCAATAAAATCACTTAAGGTATTTAATACAAGAAGGCGGAATTTACAAGGAAACCTTTTAAACTCATAAGTTGAGGTAAACTGTAACGCCATGACGAAACATGAACGACAAACCTCTTATCTAAAAAATTTCGGCATAGAATATAAAGCCTAAATTACTGATTATTATAGTGTGTTTTCTTATGTCGATAAACCACAGTTCAAAGATGTAGTTCAATGTTAAATGCAACCACTAGAAGAACAATGATCCGTTCAATACATGTATATGCAACCACTTGAAGAACAACGATCCGTTCAATACATGTATACGCTTTACCTGTAATCGAGAGGGAATTGTCCGCCAAAAATGTTATTATTATGTAGTATAAATCAGACTGTAAATGTTCACTTTTGAATAAGTTTTATATTTTGCCATTCCAGTGACTTTTTTAGCTAAAATATGTATTGTACAGATCATTGTTGAAGGCCGCACCGTAATATTGAGTTGCTCTCATTTTTGTGCTTTGGTCTTAATAGATAGATGTCACATTAGCAGCCATATCATATCAATTATAAAAAAAAAACTGTATCAGTCTCAAGAAACTAGCCTTTCTGATTGACAGGTTTTCCGACACAGATGAATCATACGAAAAATAATAAATTCACTATGCGCATTGTCATTTTATGCAGTACAGTAATACCCGTGACCACTGTCATTATCTGCTGCATTGTACTTATAAAAAGAAGACGGCAAGAAAGGCCATCGGATTCTTTTCAACTGTAAGTACTTCAATAATACAAAGTGAATCTTAACTGCTTCAAACAAATATGTATTGTTGATTCATTTCGTATGAACATGATTAAATCAAAAAAAGGAAATATATAACTGCATAGAACATTTTCAACTCGATATACGGATCAAATGTTTTTTTATTCCATGACCTGATCTGTATAAGTTGGTATATTTCCGTCAAGGGGACCATTTCTGGATAATTCTTTACAACATTTATTGTTTAAATGTCGAATATATTCTAGACCTTTCTCAAATGACTTTTTATGGCGACAATAGTGCAGTTATGTGTTATTGAAACACATGTATGCACTATGAGAATGAATGACGATAAAAGAGGTGTAGGTGTATGTGACAATGTAAACACGCAACAATCAATAAAAGCATTGAATAGTATATAATTTAATGGCCTTTATACAATTAACTCGAATTGAAAACAAGTGACAAATTACACAGAAGCGGTAACAACAGATCCTATGTTCATAAGCCTAATTAGTATTTATATTTCGGGGATAAAAACGAAAATATTTATTTTGATTTCTAAATAACATGGATGTATGTATAGTTATTACTATATCCAAGTATAAAACATGAATGGCAAAAATTTCAATTCTAAAAATATCATTTAATATATATAAGTGATTGTACAAGTAACAGGACGTTATTGATATACATCTTAAGATGTAATAAACTGTTTCAGTAAAAAGTAATAAACATGCAATAGACTAACACTTTAATCTACAGTTCTAAATTGTATTACAGAACGGACTCTAAGAAAGATATACCTCAATGGATGAAAGATTGTATAATCAGTAAGTGTTTATTTCTTCATTTACTAAAGTGATACGTTATATTTCTTGTAAATGTTCTGTTGACTTTTTATTTCTTTCGTTCTAATGAATTTGTAATTATTTCAATTTGTTCTATTCTGTTTTCTAGTGCTCACTGTCAAATTTTAAACCCACCTACCATGAATAGTATACGAATGCGACAAAATCTACGCCGGTACAAAGACACGCACTAACACAAATCTAGACGCTGCAATTAGAGATACGAGTCAAATAATATTCCAAGCTGTAAATCGACTCAATCAAAACGTTCAAATGTAGGCTGAAAGACCAAATAACCAAATCCTAATAGACAAAGGAAAGACAAAAAATAAGATTAAACTTTAGACAAGAACCTTCGAGCTCCCTGCTATGGGAAATACATATGAACATGTTTAATCTAGGCAACAGTTGTTAACCGCTTTTCAAATCGCATCAATCGAGTTAGAATATTCAAATCAAGATAACAAAGAAAAAACTTAGGGAGTTGCTTGACCTTTTAAAGAAGCCAGACCGATGTGTTTACAGGGTTTAATATTTTATAAGAACTTTTAAGTTATTTTGATAAAAATAATTGATGGAAATAAATACTGCATGATTTTAACTTCCAACAGACGACGTTGTAGACTGGCCAAAGCTGTTTGGTTGTTGTTCTACTCAAGGTTTATTGCTACCAGACTGGGAATCCTTCATACGACTTTTGTGCAGTAAGTTTTGCTAAGTTTGATTTATACGTCCTAAGTTAAGCTAATGTCACTATGGGTGAATAGACGGTTTTCTATTATCGACAATTTGGCAAAATTAAGATAAACATGGCATTTGTGATACGCGAGATAGTTTTGTTTATTACAGATATTCAAAGCGATCAATTGACGAATACGATATACAATTGTAATACAAATACCTTAGAACTTACCAGTCAGTCTGTAATGTGTGTGTGCATGTTTTGGAATTTGAAGATAGTTAACATATTTTCGTGTATGTAACAACGTATTTGATTTTAACGAAATAAATCTCTGTATTACTGAAAAACTAGTACAACAGGGTTTTCGATATCACAAACTAGTCAAAACATTTATTAAATTTTATCATAGGTACATGGACATCATTCGTGAATATAAATCAGCATGCAGACATCTTATAAGTTCAGGTATTTCACATCCAATCTTTTATGGTAATATTCTTTACAAAGCACAAAAATGTCGGCATTCACCCCATAAGCTTACCAAACCTTTAAACAGACTTATTCAGAAAGGGTATAGTTACGATTCTGTTGTCAAGTCATTAAAGATGGCATATTTTTGTATGAATATTGATTTACTCATAGGGTCTTTGAATTAGAAATAAATCCATTTATTCTAAAACGAGTTGTTGGAATGATACGAGTTATATTCTTCTCGTATTATTGTATTATACTAAACCCCTAACAGGAGGAATTGTGCTCGATTTTCATATGATGAAGACATAATCTTTCAATCATTTAAATTGAAATCTGGAGCTGGCATGTCAGTTACAGCTAGTAGTCCTTTGTTAATTCGTGTATCATTTTCATTTTGCTTAGTTTCTTTTGTTACCTATTCTGACATCGGTCTCAAACTTATTTTAAACTAAGTTTTACTGTGCGTATTGCTGTGTGTTTGTTAATTGTACATTGGCTAGAGGTATAGGGGAAGGTTTAGATCTCACAAAACATGTTTAACCCCGTCGCGTTTTTGCGCCTGTCCCAAGTCAGGAGCATTTGGCCTATGTTAGTCTTGTATGTTTTTTTTAATTTTAGTTCATTTATATGTTTTGGAGTTTAGTTTGACGTCCATTTTCACTGAACTAGAACACATTTTTGTGTAGGGGCCAGCTGAAGCCCGCCTCCGGTCTAGGATTTTCTCGCTGTGTTGAAGAACCAATTGGTGGCCTTCGGCTGTTTTCTGCTCTTTGGTCGGGTTATTGTCTTTTTGACACATTCCCCTTTTTCCATTCTTAACTTTATTTCACTGTGCAGAGTTTTCATTTATTTATTTTACTTTTAGCAAATTTAGTCTGCATAGGCTAAATATGGGTTATGCATGCAACTGAAGTCTCGATTGGCGAAAAAATTGTTACGCATATTACACTTGAACAATTTACCAACACAATATGTGCCTGTAAGAGATCAGGCTATCAATATCATGCATTGTTTGTGCTTTTTTTTATCTATTTTTGCTTATTTTTTGTATCAAAGTGATCGGTTGATTTAGTTAATGTGGAGTGTTTGTACTGTTTTATGTTACCCCTTTATCATAATATCAAACAAATGAACAACAGTTTGCATTTTCGGGTTCATTGCATTATCATGAATATGCTTCCAATTTTTGACTTTTATCTTGTTCCAAGTACACAATGATTAAAAGAATTTGATGCCCAAAATCATCATCATCATCATTATATTCATCATCATCAAAAGACAAAACAAATAAATCATACAAATTGCGCTACATTTATTTTTCCAGGGGGATCAGATATGTCAGAGCAGGGAGAAAGAATCGTAGCCTTAAGTAAAGAATCGTTTGATAAAGACAAACCCCAATCTCGTATGTATTATGCCATGGATCTTTGGAAGCAGAAAAATGACACAGGAGACGATATTAAAATGTTAAATACTTTTGCCTGTGCATTTCGTAATCATCAAACTTCTGTGAGAGGAGTGATCTGTTGTTTTAGATAACAAGAAGTATCTTTGGCATGTGACGGTTAGTTTCATCTTATCTTTGCTCAACTACTTCATTATCCAAAAAATTGAAAACAAATTTGCTTGTTAGGAAACCGGTGATGTCTATATACGAATAGAACAATAAGTTCTTGATTAATTTATGTCGGTTTCTGTCCCATCCAAATGTACTTTAAATCTCCTTTTTTTAATATATGAAGTAATTATGTAACACGATATGTAAAGTAAAATACTACTTGTAATTAATTACTCCAAGATATTTTTGTACAAAATGAATTATTCAGTATACTTTAATCAATTGTTGCTTTTTATCGCTGTTTAATTTTGACTAAATTGAAACTTCCATAGTCTGATTTTCGTTATTTTAAAATTTCAAATGCTTCCCACGAAATTATACATTTGTTTTAAATTTTACGATGAGACCTGCTGATGGATTCCAGATATTCTTGCAAAAAATTGATATCACAGGTATAAATACTCCTTTGTCGAAATTGATTATTTAATTAAGTCTTTTTCTGTAAACGTATTGTTCATATCTATTCTCAGGCATAGACAACCTTAGCCATATTTGGTGTAACATTTTTATGGTCTTCAACTTCATATTGATCAGTAAGAGCAGAACGCCAAATGATGAGTCTAATGGTGTTGAAACACGCGTCTTTGTAAGACATATAAGGTATATGTAAAAGTTGATCGAGCATATTTTACATTTGAGTTTTCAACTTTTTAGTTAATAATATTTTTCTAGTAAAAACAAACGATATATACGTAAGGTGTATTTGATAGTATCAAAGAAATATGGCTTCTTCGGTCGTCTCCAATCGGTAATACGACATTTACTTTACCAAAATACAGCTGCCGTTTATGGTAAGCGCTGAATAATGAATACTTTGTAAGGACTGCAAAACATGTACAACACAAGTTATATAAAACTCCAAAATATATCGGGTTTGCAATGTCTTTGTATCAGATAGAATCTCATTTTACATCAAGTCTTTTATGTACTTGCTCATTATTTTATTATTGTATCACATATGTATGTGTATACTTAAAAACCTATACCTGTTATAGAAAAACGTTCAAGGTGCAAATGTGTCTTCCGATAACAAAATAGTTGAAAGAGTCTTTTAAAATTTTATGTATTTTTTTACCTTATTGAATATTATATCTAGTTTGTGATATCTACTATATATGTGCCAATAAAGTGATCTGTTAGATTTTATATTTTTATATGATGTCCCGTTAATTATATAGTTATTATCTGTTATAATATTTATTGTTGTTTTGTTTATTTTTCTCTGATATCTATATTCTTAGTAATTTTTGCTAAGTGAAGTCTCTAATTTTCCTAAATTATGAAATACGTATTGTTGCAAGATTCGTATCATCAAATGTTTATTTGTTTAGTGAAGCGTCCATTGATGACAGGAATAATTTCCGAATATTTACGAAAAATTTGCAATTGGACATAACGCAACACGTTTTCGATCTATACTTGTCTGTATACCTGTCGTGATGATTTAGATTTGCTATTTGAATGCAGAAGAGTAATAATAGTGTCTACTTTTTATCTGAAACATAGAATATCTACAGTAAAAAAATCACACTAAATTGCAGGTCTTTCAAATTTTGGCCTATTTGGTTCTTGCATCTTAACCACATAAAATTAATTCTATATTTTAAATATCAAAAATGCATACGTATTTAAAATTTTGATATCTATGTTAAACAAATATTTAATAGAAGAATGTTGTTTTTTTTAAACTATGGTTATTATATCAATATTATAATTATTGTTTTTTATTAGTCTTATTTGTGATCGTTTGAGTAATTTGTATAAATATATATTCATACAATACAAGATCTCATTATATATATGCCTTTCTATTTATGTACTATTATTATCCAAGGTTTTACACTTATTTTGTAGATTTTTATTGCAATCATATATTCATTATCCATATTGGTAAAACATATACGCATGTTACGTCTATTGAAAGTTTATTTACATAATTAACAATATCACTACATTTGTATTATAATACTGTATTAACTTAGATATTGAAATAATATTCTATTGATGTTGAGAGTATTTGTATAACATTGTTTATTGATGAAAAAAATATATTCAAATATATATGTAACTTATCCTGTCGCAACACAGTAGCTTTACTGATTGAACAACGTCTGTCATTAACCGTCATTGTATAGTTGCCCTTTGGTTTTTAAAAGTGTTGGTCTACCTTTGTTTGTCCATTGCTATTTTAAACATAATCAAATATACCTTTCGTTAAAACTAACATGTGATAGAAGCCGACCTAAAACACACTAAACAATAAATTTGTGAGTGATAATCAAAATTTCAGTATAATTAAATTCAATTCAGTACTATAAATACACCTCGCTTACAGTGAATTAAGATCTATTATGTATATTTTCACAATGTTATTATTTGTATGGTGACATAAGTTATTTCTGAATTGTCTAAATAGAAAATTATCTGTAATTCATTGTCTCTAAGTGAAAGGCTTGCATAGCACTAGAGTTAAATCCAATACAGGCAACAGTAGTATACAGGTCCTAAATCGATTAAGAGAAAACAAATCCTGGTTACAAACTAAAACCGAGGGAAACACATCAACATATCCGAAACATAGCAAATTCCACAATTACCATTGCATAGAAAAATCGATTAAATTTTTTAAACATCAAGGTAGCCTGGTCCTGCATCTGAATTAAATGCTAACCAAACATAACCCAATGATGGGACATGCAGAAGACTGGTCAAAATAATCGAAACAAATAAAATATCAAAAACATTTAGTACATAAAACCATGCTTCAGTATGGAAGATAAGATTTAAATGATATTTTTGTTTTGTAGTGGCGGATCCAGGGGGGGGGAGGGTTTACGGGGGTTTAAAACCCCCCTTTTTTGACGATCAATGCATTTGAATGGGGACATATAGTTGGAACCCTCCCCCTTTTATCCAGGGTTAGGATTTTATATTTTTATATGATGTCCCGTTAATTATATAGTTATTATCTGTTATAATATTTATTGTTGTTTTGTTTATTTTTCTCTGATATCTATATTCTTAGTAATTTTTGCTAAGTGAAGTCTCTAATTTTCCTAAATTATGAAATACGTATTGTTGCAAGATTCGTATCATCAAATGTTTATTTGTTTAGTGAAGCGTCCATTGATGACAGGAATAATTTCCGAATATTTACGAAAAATTTGCAATTGGACATAACGCAACACGTTTTCGATCTATACTTGTCTGTATACCTGTCGTGATGATTTAGATTTGCTATTTGAATGCAGAAGAGTAATAATAGTGTCTACTTTTTATCTGAAACATAGAATATCTACAGTAAAAAAATCACACTAAATTGCAGGTCTTTCAAATTTTGGCCTATTTGGTTCTTGCATCTTAACCACATAAAATTAATTCTATATTTTAAATATCAAAAATGCATACGTATTTAAAATTTTGATATCTATGTTAAACAAATATTTAATAGAAGAATGTTGTTTTTTTTAAACTATGGTTATTATATCAATATTATAATTATTGTTTTTTATTAGTCTTATTTGTGATCGTTTGAGTTATTTGTATAAATATATATTCATACAATACAAGATCTCATTATATATATGCCTTTCTATTTATGTACTATTATTATCCAAGGTTTTACATTTATTTTGTAGATTTTTATTGCAATCATATATTCATTATCCATATTGGTAAAACATATACGCATGTTACGTCTATTGAAAGTTTATTTACATAATTAACAATATCACTACATTTGTATTATAATACTGTATTAACTTAGATATTGAAATAATATTCTATTGATGTTGAGAGTATTTGTATAACATTGTTTATTGATGAAAAAAATATATTCAAATATATATGTAACTTATCCTGTCGCAACACAGTAGCTTTACTGATTGAACAACGTCTGTCATTAACCGTCATTGTATAGTTGCCCTTTGGTTTTTAAAAGTGTTGGTCTACCTTTGTTTGTCCATTGCTATTTTAAACATAATCAAATATACCTTTCGTTAAAACTAACATGTGATAGAAGCCGACCTAAAACACACTAAACAATAAATTTGTGAGTGATAATCAAAATTTCAGTATAATTAAATTCAATTCAGTACTATAAATACACCTCGCTTACAGTGAATTAAGATCTATTATGTATATTTTCACAATGTTATTATTTGTATGGTGACATAAGTTATTTCTGAATTGTCTAAATAGAAAATTATCTGTAATTCATTGTCTCTAAGTGAAAGGCTTGCATAGCACTAGAGTTAAATCCAATACAGGCAACAGTAGTATACAGGTCCTAAATCGATTCAGAGAAAACAAATCCTGGTTACAAACTAAAACCGAGGGAAACACATCAACATATCCGAAACATAGCAAATTCCACAATTACCATTGCATAGAAAAATCGATTAAATTTTTTAAACATCAAGGTAGCCTAGTCCTGCATCTGAATTAAATGCTAACCAAACATAACCCAATGATGGGACATGCAGAAGACTGGTCAAAATAATCGAAACAAATAAAATATCAAAAACATTTAGTACATAAAACCATGCTTCAGTATGGAAGATAAGATTTAAATGATATTTTTGTTTTGTAGTGGCGGATCCAGGGGGGAGGGTTTACGGGGGTTTAAAACCCCCCTTTTTTGACGATCAATGCATTTGAATGGGGACATATAGTTGGAACCCTCCCCCTTTTATCCAGGGTTAGGAACCCCCCCCCTTTTATAAATGGCTGGATCCTCCCCTGTTTTGCTTTATATTATACTTAACTGCCGTTGAAACTCACCCAGAAAAAAACTGCCGTTGACTGTTTTTTTTTTTTTTTTTTTGTTCTGTAAAGCTCTCGTTTCTATTTTATTGCTCTCCAAGGCTCTCAAACTTTTTAAATTTTGTGTTATTCCAACTTTAATGACGTGCATATTTGGTGACAGTTATTCCCGAAACACGTGTTAGTACGATAGACATAATTTTTATTTCTATTCCACAGTAATACGAAACTGTTTAAAATATTGGGTTGAATCCTTTAATATCTTAGATCATGTTTGAGGTATTTTTGATTTACTGTTCAAAGTTCAGAAACCGACAAAAGAGAGAAAAAAGTATGAATTGTAAAATTTTAATTGTTGGAGTAGCTTTTGGTACGACAGTAATGAATTAATATGCATTGATTGAAGACCGCCCTTAATTGTCTTTGCACGAAATATTGTTAAGAACAGTAGTTGTATCATGTTTGAATGACACTGATTGGTTTTATATAAACGTATTATCTTCTAATCATTTGCATACGTAATTATGCCTTACAAACTTTTCAAAACACATTCCAAAATATGTATTGATAGAGGGATCGGGTAGTTTAATGTAGACCATCAAAAATATATTCTTACAAATATTGTGCTAAGAGGTGTAAGTGTTTTAAAAAAAAATTGTCGAGCCTGTATTACACATATTAAAATCCATAGATGTCTGCTTACTCTAGATGACCAAAAAGAAGCGAAAGAAAGTATATTCAACTTGAGTAATATTTACAATGTTCAATCGGAATGCAATATGTTTGTTAGCAGGAAGAACCATGTATTGTCCATCGAAGTAAGTGCAACAGAATGCCCTAGGTTTTGGCATTTAGATCCACTGCTATATTTAGGCAGATTTTATCCAACTGAGTGAAACATGGCATTTTCATTGGAAGATACAATCTCTCGTCACAGATTGAAAGTACATTGTAAGATCATTACAGCACATTGGGATCAAATGTATTACTGCAGATCTTTAACTTCTTGTTTTTGGTTGTCCTTTAAATATGTTGAAAATTTCAGAACACGAAAGTGAGCTTGTATTTCATAACTTTGAAACCTTTGGTGATGTTCATTTGTATGAAGTCCAGAATTTGAAATGGCTTCTAAAACGCGTTTGTCGTCATTATCATTTTTGTCAGTTAGTTTTGGTGGTATATATTTTAAGACGAATTTTCAATCAATTCAATGTTTGAGATCGTATTTTCGTCTACACAAGACCCGCCAGTGACATGTTAAACATTTTGATCGTCAAATCAAAGATGAAGTTGAAGACCATTCCAAGCCAAAATTTCGAATAGTTATGCCATTATGCCTCTTGATAGGCAAGTCTTAGTGTTTCGAATAATGCACAAAAATTTAAACTGATGGATGACTTGTTTGAATTTCATTTTTTAAGCTAAATAATTTTACAAGTTTCATAAGTCGATTTTTTTCAGAGAGAACTGTAAAATCAAAATGATCCAACACTATGTATAACAGAGCAACCTCCCTTTTCCCCTTACAACGATTTCAACTCGAAATAAGCGTGTATATTTCCGAATGTAGAGTATCAGAATAAAAATGTAGAATTTGTATTCAAATCGACAAAGGTTGAGCTACAAACATACCTATATCTTGTAGCAAAAAAACTAGTTTTATTTTAAATCATGAATACGTGTTCACGCCCAGTGATAAAATGGCGTATATCTATCTATATAACATACATGATGGCAATTATCCAGTAGAGTCATTTTTATATTTTTAATCCTAATGAAATTCTAAATAGCTTTTGTTTCGTTTTCAAACTTTTCCTGCGATCGAAAAAATGAACATAATATGTTCTAAATCAATTCAAAATTATGAATTCTCGCCACAGAAATATGTATTTGGAGGACTTGTCTTTCTTTCTCTACTAGACTACAATTTCTGTAAAATCGTTTCCTCGCCTTCATACGAGCGGGACGGAAAAGTGTGCTACTATGGCTCGCCTGGATTCTACTGGGTTGGTAATTGTTGGGTAAGTGGCATTATTCAATTACTATATGAGAGTAGTCATGTGGTCGGCAGCAAGATTTTACCCCTGACCAAAATCAAATTTGTTATTATGATCTAATGACATATTGGGGTAAACCTTTTAAGACATTATTTTTTTGTCTTGACCGCTACTTGTAACTTTTAAGAAATATCTGGCAACAAAATGTCCGTATCTTTCTAAACATAATTTTGTTGTTTAAAATGATTGTCTAACTTTATATAAAAAAATGTCATTTAACAATAGATTATGTTTATTTCAAAGTACTGTGTTATTGGCAGTTCTGTAATCAAATCCATCCAAAAATGACAATCGAAAGCCATTTTGTGGTCAAATTTTCTCGTTGGACTGGCATCTTTAGTTGAAGCAAAATTGACAAACTGATCGTATTCTTTTTTTTTGCATAATAAATTATAGTCCATGCTGCAGAAGTACATTATGGATAAAATGATTAAAATGAAAAACAGGTTCTTTTTATTTTGCAACAAATTCCATTATTCGATTGTAAAATTAAAAAAAAATGCTTACTTTCTGACAAATCATGGTAACGTAAAATAGGAAGTATAAAAATACATGCAGGTAATATTCAATTGTGCGATAAAAAATACATTAATACATAGTTTATCCGTTCATTTTATATCAATTTTATATTTCGTGAGTAAATAATACCTAGTTAAAACAAAGAGTAGAAACATATTTTTTAATCACCCCCAGTTTTTGGTGGGGTTCGTGTTGCTTAGTCTTTAGTTTTCTATGTTGTGTCATCTGTACTATTATTTGTCTGTTTGTCTTTTTATTTTTGGCCATGATGTTGTCAGTTTGTTTTCGATCTATGAGTTTGACTGTCCCTCTGGTATCTTTCGTCCCTCTTTTTTAACTGTTCAGTTTATTAACAGTTTTAATACCAAATACACTAAAAAAATCAAAAATATAACAAATTTTATACATTAAAAATTGTGTTATGCTTTTGTTGATTAATTCATATTGATAAGTGAAACCTTGCTTTCTTTTGCAAACACAAGATTTGTGAAGAATTCTTTATTTGTAAATGTTCGAATGTGCATTACTGTTTCTTGAAACACATACGAAGTCGTTAATTTACTATTTAAAATAAACTCACTGCATATATTGAATCAGGTTAACATTGTAGAACTAGGTCAAAGAATTGTATAAGATATGTGTTTACAAGTACCATGGGTAAGAAGTTAACTTTTGTGCTGGGAAAACATTTGTAGTGTTGATATGATATAGCTAAACATGTTTTGCTTTAAATAGATTCCTTCAAATATAAAGAAAGTAACTTAAATGGTGATACTATTTATTTAATTTTAGTTAAACTGGTTATTTCCCTAACCACCGTATTGCGTATTGACACAAACTCTAAAATGGGGGGAAAATGAAGAAGGAGTCCATGCAAAAGACGTCTTTGGGTTAGTTAAGATATTTATTAAAGTTTCTTTAATATTTCAATTTATTGTCCTTTATGTTATGTGTATTTGCTCTTATCCATACTAGTACCTGTAGTGTATTTCTGCAGCCCCTTTATTTTTATTTTTAACACGATAGGATAGATTGAAAATTTAAATAATTTACACGAGTTCGGCTCCACTATTTTTTGCGCACCAAATTTCAATTACATTATACATACAAATAAGAACGTGTAATCATCCAAAAAACATTTACATATTCGTTCCTGCTGGGATTTTTATGTACAATCACTCATCACATATTCATAAACTTCACTCCTTGGTAGCACAGATTTTTGTATGACATATTTATGATAACAAAAGTAGTTGCAGGACGCATGTTTACTATACGCACTGTAAAGCCCGAATGGAATATGCAGGTAATCATAATGTGTAACAGAATTTTCCAATTTTTTAAGTTTGGTACCTACCAAAGACCAAGAAACCTTTCTAACTTTTTTCTGATTCTGTAGTTTAAAATGCTGCAATGATATCCATGACGAAATAATCAGTTTTATATCATTCCACAATAAAACAGGAAAACACGTTTTTATTCCATCAAATTTCGAGAAATTACCTCCAATTTAAAACGAAATTAAACTTTGAGGTCTATCCATTTGGCATCAGTTTTTTCTCGTACTTCTTTCAGCTTTTAGTCCCCTACCGACGAAGTCGAAGGGGACTTTAGGTTTGCACTCCATCCGTCTGTCCGTCTGTCCGTCTGTCCATCCGTTAGTCCGGCAAATCAGCTTTCCACACTTTTTTTCTTCGTAGATATTGATTTCATATTTGGTATATAGTTTCATCATGACAAGTTATAGATCAAGTTCGAATTTTGTTCCGGTCAGATGATTCAGTCCAGAGTTACGACCATAACTGTGGACCATTTCTAATGTTAGAGTACTATGTTAAACCATATCTCTGTACAAAGGGAGATAACTCATTTTTTAAAAGACAGTCTCTGTTAAATTATTTGAAGAATTTTTTGGCAGGTTTGTTTGTCATGTTTGTTATTTAGTATAAACTAATTTTCTGAATGCTATATATTATATTAAAAAAAATTATGAAGAGAAATCCTTCAATTAGATAATAATCTATTTTTATTAATGTATATATTTCAACACATTACATTGTGTAGATAAAAGTTGTTGACATTTTATAGATAAATTACAAATCTATATTAGTTTGTGACAAATGAAAGAAAAAATATTTTGAACTATTAATTATTTTTGATTATAATTTGATAATAGATAAACACTGTATTTCATCATATCTAATTTTAGAGAACTATTAATCATATCTAATGTTTTTTTCATCATGCTTAAAAGATATTGATTTATAATTGGTATATAGTTTTATCATGACAAGTTACAGATCAAGTTCAAATTTTTGTTTCGGTCTAATGATTTTGTGCAGAGTTATAGGCCTTGGACTTGAAAAATTCACCCATACAATCAGTTTTCCACACTGTTTTTAGTCATGCATGAAGATATTGACATGATATTTACTTTTTGTTTACACCATGACAAGTTATAGAACAAGTAAGCATTTTATTTCGGAAGCGTTGAGTCCCGCAAACATGTTTAACCACATCACATTCAATATGTGTCTGTCCCAAGTCTGTAATTCGCTTTATGTGATATTTGTTTTTCGTTTGATGTTTTTTATTTAAGTCAGGCCGTTGTTTTTCTCGGTTGAATTGTTATACATTTTGTTATGTTGGGGCCTTTTATCCCTTACTGTTCGGAATGGATTTTGCTAAATGTGAAATGCAGTAATGTGAAATATGGATGCTTACATCTATGTCAGTAGATATATGGTTGATAGTTTTCTCATTAGCAATCATACCACATATTCCTACTTTTATAATGGTATGAGTATGATTTTGTCATTTCAAAGAGTGTTTTATATTGAGTCAAATGAATAACAAATATGATTTACCTTCATGAAAAGGATAACAGTTCGTTTGTTTATCAAAAAACAATTATGAATCATCTTCAAATG